GGTTAAATTTAGGCACTGAGGCTTCTCTCAGACCCATCCATCCCATGATCTCCACCGGCCGACCGGCTGCACACAGATGGCCCTGTCTGACTGCTTCAGGGGAGCGCATGCAGGGCAGGTGACTCAACAGCCGGACAAGGGAGGAGAACCCAGACACGCAGGGTGGTTCGAGGTCTTATCAGGGTCGGATGAGTCATGAGAATGGCAGGCGATTGTGCGATGAGCGGCCGATGACACGGAGAGCGGTCAGAGAGCATCAGTTTGGCTGAGCAGACGTGAGAGAGTGCAGGACAATAATGGCGCTTTTCCACTGCATGGTACGGCTCGGTACGGTAAAGCGCCATAACACTGCTGCATCAGACACACTGACAAATGACCTAAACGACAGTCTGAAGGCCTGTTTACACCAAGAATAATAACTATAGATATAGTTTTAAAAATCCTTGTAAACTTAATAGAATAGCATAGTCAAAACCATAGCTATAACTGTAACAACACAGAGGAACGTTATCGTTGGAATTACTTTCAGAACGATTTTTTTTCCAGCTGATGAATGATAAAAGAATTGACAGCCAATCAGAATCCACCCAGCTTTAAAAAGCTCAAGCATTTAAAATGGCACGCAACAAAACTGATCAAATGAAACATTTAAGTAAATGATTCAGTGATTCACTCTTTTTTTTTTTGTTCCTTGAATTAAGTAGTGTTCTTGATTGAATAATTTGAATGATTCAGTGATTTACTCATAGACCATCCTTGTTTGTTCCTTGAATGATTGAGTGGTTTTTCAATCAAATCGCTTAAGTGAGTTATTCAATTATTCACTCACAAAGACACAGTTGTCTTGTTTCTTGAATAAATCGGTTGAGTGAATGATTCAGTGACTCACTTATAAAGGCAGTCACTTTTTAGTACTTTTCACATTGATGTAACTTACAGAAAAAAGTAATTGAAGGAATCTGTGCAGCCGTATATATATATATGTGTGTGTATATATATATATATATATATGTGTGTGTGTGTGTGTATATATATATATATATATTGTAAATCTATATTTTATCCAGATTTATCCATGTACATACAGTACATTCACGTAAAGCGATATATGCTATAACAAAACTCAACTGCCTGATTTTTTTTATTCTGTTGAAAAATTTAACTATATTATTGCCCAGCTATTTAAATAAAGTTGTATATATAATTATGTCCAAGGTCATATGCATAAACTGAAAGAAATTATACTTCAAAACAATTTTCACTCAGAAATTGATAGTAAATTTTACAAATAAATACAAAGAAACGTCAAATAACGTTGAATTAAACATGAAATTTTGAAGTTGAAAGACTGAAATATTTTCTTATAAAATGTACTTTTTTTGCTTACAAAATAATTTTTACTATGTACATGCAGTAAATTTGTGAAGGGTTATCTATATCTGAACTACTTGATTGCTTGTATCATCGCAAAATATAAACTATATTATTCCCCAATATCAATCGAAATGCAACAATAAGGCATGAAGATACCGAGATACCGTAAACATTAACATAATGATTTTCTGTAAAGCTGCTTTGAAACAATGTGTATTGTGAAAAGCACTATACAAATAAATTGACTTGATGTTTTTAGCCTGGTAGGTGAAGAAATGGGGGAAAAATCTGATATATTTACATTGAAACATCTGAGTGGCAGCATAAAGTCTGCCCACTTAGACAGAAAGAGACTGTCTGACCAAAATGTAAAGCAACCAACCACAAGTTGTTTTTATTTTCATTTTTGGTGCGGATAAATCTGAAATGGCACAATATTGGACTCGAAAGAAAAAACAATGGTGAGGCCAACTTCTTTCACACAATTAAAGAATATTCAGAAATTCTGTGAGAATACAGTTCTGTTAATGTATATTTAGTGTGCTTCAAGTGCCTCAAAAAATCTCTTTCAAAGATTTGAAAGTCATGAACCCAAGCACCCTAGCATCACGGCAGTGAGTTTTCTGAACACAGTTTGTTCAGAAATTGTAAAAATCAGCAATGTCTGCATGGCTCAGATTTTGCTCTTCTATATCATCCTGAAATTGAGTGACACACCTAGCTGTCTGCTCGGGACAGATCGATAGTTGTCTGTCCTCAAGCAGATGCACAAGTGTGTTTGAGTTTGTTTGGACGTTGTGTAGAGACTGACGTCTCAAACATGGTGTCTCATTTCCCCTGCTGGTGATCAAATCTGCGATTAACGCCACAGACGAGACAGCGGCCGGAGAACTGCCTGATACAAGCTCGCAGAAATCCTGTGCACTGTAATGGCTCTGAAGTCAATGTTTTATGGTAGATGTTATGCCATCGGGTGCGGCGTCAGGTCACGCATCGTGAGTCTGGGTAGATTAGAGACTCATAAAACTCCATCACAACATCCCTGACCTCTTTTATTCACAGCAGCCTGCCGAACAGCTGCCTCGTATGTTCCCTTCCTCGGGATCTTTTAAGTGCACCTGACTAGCAAAGCTCTTTTGTTATTAAATCGAAGGGAGAAATTAAGAAGGCTTTTACAATGAAAGGACATTTTTGTCTTTATTTAATCTTACATTTGATCTTTTCAGTGGTGTTGATGTATTCCTTAAAGAAACGGTTCACTAAAAATGTAAACTGTCATCTTTTACTCACCCTCATGTTGTTCCAAACTCATGTGATTTCACAAAAGGAGATGTTTTGCAGAATATTTGAGCTGCTCTTTTCCATACAACATTGACGCACATTCTTAGGCTTTCAAAAAGAATATAAAAAAACAACAACATAAAAGTACCATGATTTACAGCTAATAATGACTTAAACTTGAGCCTGTTCCATTGTTATTATTAACTAAAGCTAAAACTATTAAAGGGGTCATATGATGCGATTCCAATGTTTCCTTTCTCTTTGAAGTGTTACAAGCTCTTGGTGCATAAAGAAGATCTGTAAAGTTGCAAAGACTAAAGTCTCAAATCCAAAGAGATATTCTTTATAAAAGTTAAGAGTCAGCCACGCCTACCTAAAACGGCTCAGAACTGTAAGTAAGTTTTTTATATATAAAGGATTTGTCACTGATGATTCAAACGCGAGTTTTGAGCAGTGTAGAGTAGCGCTTGTTGTTTGTCATTTCTCCGATCACAAATGCAGACATGGTTTTATGTTTACGCGGCACGATGCAACGCAACGCGTAAAAAGACAGTATAAGTCATTATAATCAGTAATTATGTCCCCACTGGATGCAACAAATGCCTCGTTTATAATGGGTTTTAATGTTTTTGTCTCATCGCTCCGGCCGGGACGAGGCATCACAGTATGGTAAAGGGGCGTAACATTTCCGTCACACACTTGAGGTATTCGGCCAATCACAACGCACTGGATAGCTGGCCAATCAGAGCACACCTCGCTTTTTCAGACCGCGTTTCAGAAAGGCGGGGCATAGAGGAGAAACAATAATGTACAGTATGTGGAAAAGAATGTGTTTTTTGAACCTTAAACCGCATAAACACATTTCATTACACCAAATACACATAATAATGTTCTTTTTAGCAACGTCATATGACCCCTTTAAAAACCATTTTTATTAACTGAAAGCTGAAATAAGGAAAATAATGTTAGGAAAAAAATGAAAATTAGAAAGGTTGTCTTTCCAGCTAACTGAAATAAAGTGATTTTATGTAGAAGTATTAGAAATACTAAAACTAAAAATTAAATAAAAAGATAAATGGAAATATATATATATATAAAAATACTTAAAATGGTGATGGCATATATCAAAATGACTGACATTTAAACTAAAAGTTCAATTAAATGAAAATGTAAAAAATAAAGGCTAATTCATATTGATAAATACTATCACAATATAATGATATAAATAATACTAAAATAATGCTGGTTCATCACATAAAGCATGTAATATAGCACAGAAGCCATAAATACTATTTTGTTTGTTTAATATTTGCAATTAATAATCACATTATTTACAATATTTATTTAAATTTAATTTCTGTCATCAAAAAGTAATTATTTGCACTTGCATAAAATGAGTTTAAGTTGAAATATGCAATTACTAAAACTGAAAATATAAAAAATAAAGGCTAATTCACATAATTAAATACTTTAATATTATAATTATATAAATAATACTAAAATAACACTTGTCTGTTCATCACATAAAGCATGTAATATAGTGCACAAGCCATTTTTTTGTTGTTTTAAAACATTTACATTGCTACAGATATATTTGAAAATGATTATATTAATAAAAAGCATAAACTAGTGTATATTTCATAATAAATTGTCATCATAAATAATTTTAGCACACATTCTCCAACACATTGTGCTTACATTAACAATGTGTTTATGATTCTGAATCGCATCTTACAGAGCCAGACTTCTGACTTTCAGCATAAAGTCTGGTCTACTTTGCTGTTTATTTGGCCAAAGAACCGCCCACTTAGACAGGAAGAGACCGTGTGACTGACATGTGAATCAACCAACCGCAGTTTGTTTACAGGATGTTTTGGAAACACTAATCTGTAATAGATGATACCACATCAGCAAGCTGAAGAAGTGATTAAAAACCTGGGCACTCTGAGTAACATAAATGGTTTGGAAGCCAGCCAATCAGATTGGAGCTTGCGGTTTTAGCCAGCTGTTGCCATTTCTGTGTGCATTATCCATCAGACGGCCCGTGAACGGTCCATGGGCGTACCGTCTGAGCTGAGGTTTAGACTAGTCTTAGAGTAACTGGGTAGAAATGTTTCACATGCTCTATAAAGTTTTGAAATATCTGTTCATCTCAGCACTCCACCCAAAGCCAAGTTGTAATTGTTATTTTCCTGCATGTGGTGCATTGCATCAACCTGCTTATGCTTAATTATTCAGTCTGTCTGGTATGTGATGCCTTCAGTTGTATAATAGTGCCGCATTGTGTCATAACAATCCTAACCATCCACCCTTGAAGACGCATTTCTCTCTTTGTCTTTCTGCAGAGTGCAAGTTCCACTGCACCAATGGCAGATGTCTGAAACTTCTCTCGCTGATTTGCAATCATCTGAATGAATGTGGAGACAACAGTGATGAGGAACACTGTCCTGCTGCTGTACCTCCACCTCCAGACACCATCCAGTGTAAGTCCATCCACCCACATCTGTCTCAACGTCACATCTGCATCTCTGACAGGTGATATTGCATCAGTGTTGGGGAAGCTACTGTAGAAAACGACTTGGCTACAGTCAAGCTACCATTAAGAAAAAATATAACCAAATGTTGCTGCATACATAGAAGGGATTTAGGTCAGTTAGTGTCTTTAAATTCAATAATTATTAGATTATGTGGTGCACAGTATTTATGTGGCATAAAGGACTGGAACAAATAAAATCTATCCTAATTTATTCACCTGAATTGAAAACAGTGCTAGCGACCGCAGTATTTCAATATTTATTTCACTACAAAAAAGATTTGGTGAATCAAGGTTTCTTTCTTTGAACCAGTATATTAAGTCCAAACCAGGGTCGGAAATTATCAGGGGCCTGTGGTAAAAATGTCACTAAAATGACCAAAAATGCCCCACAAATTCGAGATAAATGGGCTAATAATTAAACTAAATCTATTATGGCTGTCGCAATTAAAATGAAATGTGAAAACGGTCAATTTGTGGAAATACATTTAAATCTGCATACATTGCATCTGATTGCTTTTACACATTGTTTTTGCAGAATTCTGTGCGCTTGCGAATTCTCTCATTATAAACAACAAAGTGCACATACTATTTAATTAAGAGCTTTATTTCACTATGCAGGTCTTAAAGTTCTCCAGCACCGTGCCGGATCTCCGGCGTGCGGCGTTTGGCTGCGGGGAAAAAAATATCCTACATTTAAAAACACTTGTTGATATCACGTTCGAGTTCATGAGTTCGCCTACCAATGGTATGAGAGGAACACAGCTTTCACTCTCAGCCAAACTAACATTACTAGCCAATCAGAAGTTTTTGCTCTTATAAACACGAGACGCGCATAATAGTATCCAATTGCAGAGTCGCAGCTGATGAGATTTATTGTACATCGGGATTTCAAAATAAAACTTTCCGACTTTGCATGTGGCCAAATATTAAAATTAAATGGATTTAAACGTGGCATAAGATGAAATATCAACATTTCGTTGCTGTTTGCAGCGGTACATGCTTTTTATGAATAGATAATATCCCTTAAGTTATAGTATCTGTACGAACCCTGTTTAAGTTACCAGATCTTGGACCATTTTAATGTTTTTGTTGTTGTTAATTGAACTGAACTGTAGTTTTCTGTAGTAAACTGTCTTTGTATATTTCCTATTTTATATTCATTTCTTTTGAACAAAACAATTTAAGAAATTTCATGTTTTAGATTGTAGGTAATCTTGGACATGTCAAGGACAAAGCTAACCAGCAAAACTTGATATCAAAAGCATCCTAAATGTTACATGTGTTTGCACCGAAAAAAGTTCAGGCTCAGGATTTTTTATTTATTTATTTATTTTTTTGTTTTAACCCCTGATTATGGAAGCCCGTTTCTGCCACTGAATAAAAATATATATATATATATTTGCGCCTTTTTTTTCTCACAATTCTGACTTTTTGTTTTCTCAGAATTGCATAATATAAACTTTTCTCATTTTGTGAGATATAAACTTGGAATTGTTTAAAAAAAAAAAATCAGAATTGCAATATTTAAGCTCACAATTCAGAAATTAAAAATTAAACATGCAATTGTAAGAAAACTTTTTCTCTCATAATTGGACTTTATAACTTGCAATTGCAAGTTCATATCTCACAATTCTGAGAAAAGAAGTCAGAATAGTGAGAAAAAAGTCAGAATTGTGAGATATAAATTCACAATTGTGAAAAAAAAATCTGAATTGTGAGTTTATATCTTGCAGAAAAGTCAGAATTTTGAGATAAAAAGTCACAATTACCTTGTTTTAATTTTTATTTTGTGGTGGGATTGGGCTTCCATGTTTCGCTAATCACGCTAATCACTTGATCAATAATCACTTCAGTGAATATTACGAGAGTTTTTGCAAACTTGCGCTAGACTATGTTAATGTCATGGACCACCGACATGTTTGTGTTGTCAGAATATAATGTGCTGCTTCATCAAACACAAAAACGGTATATATGTATTCTATTAATCGACATTAATAATCATTATTACAATATCAAGAGCAACAATTGACAAAAATGCTTTTTGTCATTATATTGCAGTCCTATGAGTTCCTGTTTTATTAAATGGATATGTAATTTTACAAAGTCTGTTGTCATTGGTAACATTTTAAAGTATTCTGATTGATTGGCGCAAATGGTTAAATTTAAGTGTTTGACATTAAAGACAACAATCATACAAATAATAAGGTAACTATAAAAAATGCCCCTGGTTAACAATTCCAGGGGGCAAATATTGAATGAATCAGACTCATGCAACTGGAGAGCGACAGTCTACTGGAGTGTTTGATTAACATCACAATCGGTTGCAAGGCTGGGTGTGCATTATAAATGTGACATAAAAACAGCAATATAACACTTACTTGTTGGAAAAAATGGCTTGTTACTGGAAAAGCTGCTCTACTTTGAAAACAGCTGAACTGCTGTTACGCTACTGAAAACTGTAGTTAGGTTTGTGGTGTCGCCCAAATCTCCTTGCTGTGTGTTCTGTGCTGTTGTCTTTGCTGATCCATCCTGGTTTATTGATATTTTGTTCAGCATTATGCCACAAAATGCTGTGTGGTGCAGTTATCTTACCACAGTTATGCTAGAAACATACTGAGCACAAGTGTGAGAAGGATTCTTCTGCTGAGGAATACAGTTCATTAGCATAACTGTAGATGATATCGCAGATATGTTGACTTGGTGCATTAAAACTGAATTTCAGTTGAGGTGTGTTAGCTGTTTTATAATGAAACTGGCTTATCAGTCAGATTTGAGAGAAAAGTGTTCATTATTGCTGCAAATAACAATTGTTTAGATAATCGATTCATCTGTCAAGTTTTATTCTGGTTTAATCAAATATTAATCCACAGTTTGCTCGGGGCTCTCCATCAAGTAGTGTACAAATTTAAGTATGTAATGTATACTATGTGTGCAAACTGTTTTAAAATATAAGTTAAAGGTTGCAGTACTAGCAGAAGAGCATTTCAAATAACCAAAGTTACCAAACCGCAAACTAAGCAAGTCAGAGGTTAAAATGCGCACACATTCCCTCCTCTAAACATGTCAACATTCAAGTCTACTAAACATTTTTTCTGGGATTAAATTAGTTCTGAAATAACATTATTTGGGTTGCAAGGATCTTTAAACTCAACTATGTTTAACAACAAATATCATTTGATTAATATGATTGCGCAGTATGTTGCAGAAAGTTTAACAAAGACTGCAACATTTAGTCATTCTTTGCTGCGATGCATTGTTTTAAAAACGGGAAATTCTTGTATTTTAAGAATATAACAGTAAAATGTACACTACTGTTGAAAAGTTTGGGTTTGGTATAGGTTTTTTTTGTTTTTGAAATAAGTATTTATGCTCACTCAAGACTGCATTTATTTAATAGAAAATACAGTAGATTAGAAATGAGAAATTGTGAAATAATATTACAATTAAAGTAACTTTTATATTTAAATATTAAAAAAAACTAATTTATTTGTATGATCAAAGCTGAATTTTAAGCATCATTACTCCAGTCTTCAGTGTCACACGATCCTTCAGAAATCAGTCTAATATGCTGAATAAAATGGTCTAATATGCAATGTTAAAAACATGTTTTTGCTGCTTAATATTTGTATACAAACAGAATTTTCAGTATTCTTTATAAGTAGAAATTTGAACAGCGTTTATTTGAAATCTTTTGTAATAATACAAAATTATTTTGATCATTGATCATCTTTTGATCATTAAAATATACATTTGTTAAAAACTGTTCTTTTATTAGCAGTTATTAACAATTTCATCAAATTTGTGCATTTTAGATTATCACTTTGTACTGAGCTGTCTTTGTGTTTAGCATTTTCTTTTTTCCATTTGAAAGTTGAATTCATCTTTATATTTGACTCTGTCGGCATCAGTGTTAGACTGGTTGTTGGTGAAGGTTGAACTTTTTGTCACGTTATCCTTTGCTAGCACACTGCATTTGTGTCTTTGTTGAACAGGAGCTTTTACCGAATCGGTTTGTGTAGTTGTTTGTATGACCTTCCCCTTCCATCCTGTGCATGAATGCGTGCCCATAGGTGTGTGAATCTGTGTTTGTATGTGGACGCTGTTCGTAGATGAATTTGTGTGCTTTAGCTCTCTCTTCTATCTGTGTACACACACACACACACACACACACACTCTTTCTTGCTTGATGTCAGTCATATTACAAGGCCAGTTAACATGAAAGCATCCAGACAGACGGTTAACTCTTTTAAACTTCAACAAATGTGTTCAAGGTTCATTTTTAGAACTGAGTGGAATTAGTTGGTTTTTATTCAAAAGTGCTGTCCACTCCATATTCTACTGAGCTCTGCTTCACCTAGTCGCATCGCCTCAAAGTCGTCGACTCTAATAGAACGATGTAGATGAGATTGTTTCTTCATGGGAACAGATTTGGAGAAATTCAGCATTACCTGGCTTGGTCACCAATGGATCCTCTGCAGTGAATGGGTGCCGTCAGAATGAGAGTCCAAACAGCTGATAAAAACATCACAATAATCCACAAGTAATCCAGTCCACCAATTAATGACTTGTGAAATGAAAAGTGAAAATCGCAAAGTGAAAAGTTTTCATTTTCGTAAACAGTGCTTGATCTGTGCATATTTCTCTCCTGATTCAGATGAGATGACTTTTTCCCTGGAGAAAACAATATGGATTATATACTCATATCTTAGTTTTGAAGTTAAAATACCTTAAGGATGGATTTGTTTCTTACAAACATGCATCTTTTCACATTAACTGATGGACTGGAGTGGTGTGGATTATTTGTGGATTATTGTGATGTTTTTAACAGCTGTTTGGACTCTCATTCTGACGGCACCCATTCACTGCAGAGGATCCATTGCTGAGCAAGGGATGTAATGCTACATTTATCCAAATATGTTCCGAGGAAGAAACAAACTCATCTACATC